CTCAGGAGATGATGCCTGAGCAAAGTTTGAAGAATGTGGAATAGTGGCTATGTGTGGGTGGAAAGTGAAACTGCACCTAGCAAGGCCTAGTTGTGTGAGAGCTTGACTGTTCATCAGAGAACTGCGGTCATTTGGAATGTCAGATGTATAAAAGGTTGCTGGAGTTAAGAGTTATCTGGTTGCAAGAAACAGAAACTCATGCCAGTTGGCTAAAATAAAGGAGTAACAAATATAAAAATAGGCAGGGATTATGTGAGACACAACTGTGGGAAGCACAGCTAACATTACAAGAAGTCTTATTTCCCCTTTCTCTTTCTCATTGGCCGATTTCTAGTTTTAGCTTTTCTTTGTATGGCTGCTTCATTTCCTCAGCAGACTGGCTTTTCTGCTCACTTATCTGCTTGCATGTAGGCTACTATTGCTGTCCCAAATAGTGGCCCCAGCTCCACCTCTGTCCACACCACCCAGTTTGCCCAACTTTCCAGCTTAGCAACCTACAGTTATTACTTAACTCCATCTCAGGATCTCAATTCCATATTCCCAGGAGCTGTAATCTGACTGGTACAGTTTCAACATGCATGTAAATCAAGGGTCAGCAAACTATGGCCAGGGGGTTAGGAGGGGACAATCTGGCCTGCCTTACACTTTTGTAAGTAAAGTTTCATATTGTCTATGGTTGCTTTGGCATTAAAGGACAGAATTGAATAGCTGTGACAGAGAACATATGAACTGCAAAGCTGAAAATATTTACTATCTAGATCTTCATAGAAAATGTTAGTTGACCCTTGCATTAGACAGTTAGATGTGGGGATGTAGTGCTGTTTAGATGCTTAAGCCCCTGTAATTAAAACTTGAGAGTTGTTGGGTTTTTTTGCAGAAAAAAGGATAATATGGAGAAAAAGGCAACTGAGGAAGTATTTTGAGAAAGAAACTGAAGGCTCTAACATAGGAAATATAATCAAACTCTCAAATATGCACTAAATTTTGAACACAAGGTGAAAGAGTGTGAGACAGTTACTTCTTAATCTGGAGAAGTTCATTAAGATACTAAATTTAGGAGAGTGTGTCATCCTAACTACCTTTAAATATCTCACTTGTGGCAAATTTCCCAGACCCTGCACAGTTAGTTCTTGGTGAAATGAACTGACTGAGGCACAATGTTCACTTTACAAAAAGATTTTTAAATGTATGTCCAGAAGGTTAAATGTCATTTAACTTTCAAAAGAGAGAGCAAGAGAGAAAAGAGGACCTGAGAGAATGAGACATTTAGATGGGAAAGACTGAGGCAGATAGACTGAGACTTGGGGGAATAGGAGGAGATGAAATCTAGAATTTACATTTGGTAAACTTAAGATTATTGCAGAGAAAATCTTTCATAACTAGTCTTTGGTTGAGTAGAAAAATGATTTGAGTTTTAAAAACCTTAGAGATCATTCTAGTCCTTGTTATTCAAAAGGTTGTCTGAGCATACTCAGCAGCATTGGCATCAGAAATGCAGAATCCCAGGCCCAACCCCAGATCCACTGCATAAGAATCTGCATTTTTAAAGATCCCACAGGTGATTCATATACACATTAAAGTATGATAAATTGAAGCACTGAATTAGAATAGTAGCTTTTAGAGTCTTCAACATAGAATAGTTGTGGGTTATTTTGTTTGGAGCCCAACTCTATTAAATAGATCAAAGTGGACCTGCTCTGGTTGAAGATGTGCAGATTCTAAAAGACAGGGAAGGGCTGGGAAAACCTAGGCATTTGCATCCTCTATTCCTCAAGGAACATAGTTTGAAAATCAATAACCTGGCAGAATGAGCGGAAGTAATACCAGAATCTTCAGGGCCAGCCTTTGTCAAACTCCCAGGTCTCTTCCACTTCTGCCTCATTGAGAACTTCTACTACAATGAATCCCTGTTAGTGATGGGATATATTCTGCCTTTAGAGAGTTGGAATTTTTAAAAACTTAGAAATCAATGTTCTAGGTCCCTTTTCTGAGCTTAAAGATGGGGAAACTAGGGCACAGAATGTGGCCAATGAAACTCCATTCAAATACATTTTAAACTACATATATATTGCTAACAAAAGGAGCTGCTATAGACAGTTTGTTTCTCCCCAAAATTCAAACGTTGAAACTTAATGTGTGGGGAGCCGATATAGGGTTAAGCCTCGGACTGACCTGTTAGCAAAATCACAAACAGGTCTTCCGAGTCTTAACCCAATCCGAGAGGTGGCTGCTGATTTACATGCACTGTCATTTAAAAAATAAAAATGGGGGAATTTGCCGGAAGCCAGTCCACCCTTGCTGCTTGACACAGTCGCTGCAGGGAAGAAACATCTGCACAGCTTATGTTTCAAGGGACCTGGCGTATATGGCATATGTTTGCTCCCCCTCTTAGCGCTATGTGTTTTAACCAGGACCACCTCCCCGAGAAAGGTTGTTTCCCCAGGTTAGGGATTAACAGGACTAAGGAAGAGAATACATCAGTAAATCCCCCTAGTGTTACAGAAATACCATGTACTGCTTATGAAGAACTTGGACTAAGGCTGTTGGCAATTAATTTGGGACTTGTTGGGCCCACATCCCCAGGGGTCTGCCCACCAGGGAGCGCACAAAAGCCTATACCCCTGGAGACCCACCGACACAGGGCAGTCCCAGGGAAGGCAAGCAGCGAGGCTGGAAGGACATAACCTTTACTGGGTAGGATAATCTCCTTCAGTCACTTCCTTGTAGCCTATCAGTAGAGCAGTGACCTTGGAATAGCCCTTGTAATGGAAACACAGAGATTAGCCTAGACAAGATTAAAATCAACAGGACTAGACAGAGACAGGATTTTTGGCAAAGGTCAGATAAGAAACAAGGAACTGTAGAACCTTACCCAAAACATACCATGATGTGATTATAGAGGCATGCTTATAGGATCAGATGGTATAAATATAGATGTAACAGGACAATAGAAAAAGGAACCTCGCTATGCTGATCAACTGAACGCTGTCTCTGTGTCCTTCCTTCTTCGCCGACTCCGTTCACACATTTGGGAACCCCTGGACCTGCTGGGGCTGGACCCCAACATTAATGCCCAATGTGATGGTATTAGGAGCCCTAAGGAGTGGCATTAGTGCCTTGATAAAGAGATGCCATTGAGCTCCCCTGCCACTTCTACTATGTGAGCTTTTAGCAAGAAGATGGCAATCTTCGAACTAGGAATTGGGAACTCATCAGACACTGAATGGTGGGACTTTCCAGTCTCCAAAACTGTGAGAAATACATATTTGTTGTTTATAAGCCACTCAGTCTATGGTATTTTGTTATAGCAGTCTGAATGGACTAAGACAGGCAAATCTAAAGCTTAAATAATTCTTAGGGACTAAAGGATTTCAGAGCAGACCTCCTCAAAGTGTGCCACTTTGGTATGTGAATTATTTTGAGCTGAAGGCAGTTGTAACCCTGTGGGCTTACAAGAAACTTTACCTCTCTTTTAAGTTTGGGACCTAACCCATAACAAGATTTATCACCAGAAATAACTTTTTTATGGCATATCTATGTGGTAGGACAAACTTGTAATTACTGAACATCTGTTCTTATCATTCTGTGAATGATCTTTCCTTGCTCAGAAGCCCTATGGTGTCTTACCTCATTCTTAGCTCAGAATGCCATATATACCTCATTTTAACTTTCTGTCTTTAAACCTCTCACGTATATGGGATCTCTGACTCTCTCATGTATATGGGGTTCCCATATGTAGGTATGTAATTAAATTTGGTTATTTTCTCTTGTAAAGTTGTCTCATTTGGTGATTAGACCAGCTGGAAGAACCTAGAAGGGTAGAGGAAATTATCCTCCTTCCTCACAAGACAAGAAAGTGCTGAAGTTCCATATCCTTCACTGGTCCTTCCTGACTTAGCAATCAAGTGGAGAGACCATCTGTGCAGTTTTTAAAAGCTGTAGACCTAGAGAGACTCAAGTTTGAATCCTGGCTCCATTGCTTACCAGCCCAGGCAAAATATTTCAATATTTTCTTAACCTCTTCATGTCAAAAATAAAGATAATAATTTCAGCCTCAGAGGGGTGCTATGAAGCAAATACATGTGAAACAATTTAGCACATGGCCTGGTAAAATAAGTGCTCAATAAATGTTACTATTAATATTATTTTTAAATGAACCATGACTAAAAGGTCAACCTACATCAATTTAGAAATTGCTTAAAAGGATTACCCATATGAAGTTAGAGAAGACTGTTTTCTTTTTCACTGCTACTGCTAGAAGAGTAAAACAAATTATATTTATAGCAATAGGCTATCTAGTATATGCAGTTTATTCTAAATTAAATACTACAGTTGTGAATGGTTTTTGATAAATGAGGTAAATGTTTAGGGAAGACAGTGAGTATTAAAGGGATTCCAAATTATATTATAGCAAATGAAACTTTGTTTTCCACAGTAGTATTGCTTTTAGAGTCAGGCATTTTTAGTAACTATGATCGATGGCTTCAATCTGTCTTTTTTTTCTTTTTCTTTTTAATCCTCACCCGAGGATATGTTTTTATTGATTTTTAGAGAGAGAGTAAGGGAGAGAGGGGGAGAGAAACATGGATTGGTTACACATTTTCTGCAACTATCAACTAATTCATAAAAAAATTATGTGTATAGAGAATATGGAGGAGTGATAGAGCAAATGTAGTTAATTGTTAATGATTGATAAATCTGGATGAAGGGTGTATAGGAATTCTTTGTATTCTCACAACTTTTTTGTAAGTTTAAAATAACCTATAATAATAAAAGCATAATATGCTAATTAGACCAGATGACCTTCCGACCTTCTGGATGAAGCCGGGGTTAGGAGGGAAGCCTGGGCCCCCGGTGCCAGAGGGAAGCTGGTGCCAGCAGCTGGGGGAAGGAAGGCCTATTCTTGCATGAATTTCTTGCATCGGGCCTCTAGTTTCAAAATAAAAAGTTAAAAAAAAATAAAACCAATCATTGAACAAAATTCTCCCTCTGTCCCTTAGCTTCCAGCCAGGATCCAGCAACCACCAACACAAATAGGAAAATCAATTGGAGAGAAAAAACGGAAACAAATGACTTTTGCCTTACTACTTTTCAGGTACTGTTTTTCTTTGTTTTATTTCATTTTTGTAAGACTTTTAGAGCGCTGGTTCTTGACCTCATCTATACATTACAATCACCTAGGGCAGTGGTCGGCAAACTCATTAGTCAACAGAGCCGAATATCAACAGTACAATGATTGAAATTTCTTTCAAGAGCCAAATTTTTTAAACCTATACTATATAGGTAGGTACATTGTTATTAACTTAATTAGGGTACTCCTAAGGCTTAGGAAGAGCCACACTCAAGGGGCCAAAGAGCTACATGTGGTTCGTGAGCCACAGTTTGCTGACCAGGGACCTAAGGAGTTTAAAAACTCCCTATACCCTGGCAACAGCCCCACTGATGAATTTAGAAGCTCTGAGCGGTGGAACATAGTCATCAATATGTTTAAAGTTCTCTAGGTGATTCCATTGTGCAGCTAAGGTTGAGACCACTGCCTTGCACTAAAACTTTATTATCGCCCTTTACAATGGTCTAAGTCAGCGGTTCTCAACCTGTGGGTCGCCACCCCTTTGGGGGTCGAACAACCCTTTCACAGGGGTCGCCTAAGACCATCGGAAAACACATATATAACTACATATTGTTTTTGTGATTAATCACTATGCTTTAATTATGTTCAATTTGTAACGATGAAAATACATCCTGCATATCAGATATTTACATTATGATTCATAACAGTAGCAAAATTACAGTTATGAAGTAGCAACGAAAATAATTTTATGGTTGGGGGTCACCACAACATGAGGAACTGTATCAAAGGGTCGCGGCATTAGGCAGGTTGAGAACCACTGGTCTAAGTTGAGGTCTAAGGAAATTCAGCAACTTGCTCATGGTTACATTAGCTTGTGGAAGTGGCAAAGAGGGTAGAGGTGGACATGAAAGGGGGTGGTGATCGTGTGACCCCATTTGGGGGCTCTCTTCACTACACCCCTTGGTCTTCTTGGGTCTTCAGCTGGCTTTTCCCAAACCTGGCCAGAAGGCAAGGAACTGAGCTAGATGCTGCAAAATGCAATCAGACATGCTTTGGATTTTAAGGAACTTATAAAATGACATAAGCATATGAAAGCGAGTGAATATTAAAAATTCTATAAAAGTGCATAGGTGCTTTGTGAAAGGGTGAAATTAGCTAATGGGAATAAGTTCAATCAAGAAAGGCTTCTTAAGTAAAGAGACATTGACATCACTAAACATTCCTTCTTGTGAAAACATATCTCCTTTCAACCTTTTCTCCCAACTGTTTTCCTCCCAAATGTAAGGAGCAACTTCTTACATTTTCTTCAACCAGACAAAACAGACCTAAATTTTTAAAATTGTAAAATAATAATTTTTGAAAAGGCTTCTCTCCAAATTTAGAATAATTAAATGTTTTCTTTAAGCCATGTTTTTTTTAATAACTTCTAAAGCATTAGGAAAAATTACATCTCATTTTAGTTTAGTTCATCTATTAATTTTTCATATTGCTGAACAGATAATGCTCATGTAATAAACCGTAATTGTTTTTCCAAATTTATCCTAGCTTTCCCAAACATTTGGGAATAAACCTTTTCAAGTGCTATTTAAGCCCAACAAGAGGAAATTTGACCCACAGTTTATCACTTACCTCATTAGCATACTAATATGATTACACTTTGCATTTGACTAAGGGGTTGTTCTTTCACCCTTGTAGTCTTGTTGGTGGAATATCACAGTTTTTGGTTGATTTTTAAAACAAATTGTCTAGGGAAAATAGGTGATGTTGATACAAGAAGTTTAGACGTGAATTAATTGCTCTTAAACAATTCATGTGAGTTTAGCCCCTTCTGTGGTGTGATTTGCACAGCTCTCATAAATGCTCAACTCACATTGCCACTGAAACAAAATCAACCCTAAAATATTTCTCACACTTTGTAATGAACGATTATTTTTTTCTTAGACTCAAATTACCTAGGTCCTGCAGTGATTTAGGATGGCTCTACTTATATAAGTGAAAGTGTGGCTGGGGCTTTCTAATAGTTTTTTCAGGTAACTAGTTCAAAATGAACTAACTCTTTATTAACCATTTACGGTGCAAAGTATCTACCTTGATGTGGGAACACATAGGAAGGAAATTAACTGGACCATGTTGGTGACAGTCTTCCTGGTATCAAGATTTTTATTATTAAAAATGTAATTAGATATTTTAAGTAATAACAAGGCCTGTAGTAAAAAAAACCACATTCACTGTATAGAGAGGTAGGATATCTCTGGTATAATGACGCCATTGCATTCATATGAGCTATAGATTGAGTATTTGTGGCTCCCCCAAATTCATGTGCTGAAACCTAATCCCCAATGTGATAGTATTTTGGAGATGGGAACTTTGGGAGGTGATTAGGTTATGAGGGTTCAGATTATAAAGATCCCAGAGAACTGCCTTCCCCTTTTCACGGTGTGAGGACACAGCAAAAAGATTGTGGTTTATAAAACAGGAACTGATTCCTCACCAGACACCAAATCCTGCCAATGCCTTGATCTTGGAATTCCAAGCCTCCAAACTATGAGAAATAAACTTCTGTTGTTTAAACTACCCAGTTTATAATGTTCTGTTAAACCAGCCCAAATAGACTAAGACTGTGTGTGTCCCAGGTACACCAGTGTAAGGAGATAATAAATAGATAGATAGATAGATAGATAGATAGATAGATATTTTATTGGATAATAATATAAATATAATATATATAGCAGGTCCTTGAATAACTCTTTTTATTCAACATCATTTTGTTATAACGTTGGTGAGTTAAAAAAAAAATCAATTACCAGAGGAACCATTCATTCTCTGTGTTCCTCAACTGGCACATTCTCCCCATGTTTGCATGGGTGTTCTCCCAGTACTCTGGTTTCCTCCCACATCCCAGGGATGCACACATTAGCTAAATCTAAATCATCCCAGTATGAGTGAGCCTGGGGTGAGGTATGAGTGCACTCTACAATGGAAGAGTGTCCCATGTAGGGCTGGTTCCCGCCTTGTACCCTAAACTGGAATAAGTTGGTTGTAAAATAATTATCTTACTTGTTTTTATTCATCTTTTTAACATATATTATAGTATAGCTCACATTTATTTTAGTGTTTAATTTAGAAGTGTTTGGGCTCTTTATTTAGAAGTTTGGTGATGTTTTTGTGGCTGTAGGAACTTAACTCTTGTTTATATCAATTAGCTTGTGATAAATTGGTTTTGTTTTACATCATTTCTTTTAAAGTCATAATTTCCAAGACCTTATTGACAACATTAAGTAAAAATTTTTTTGAGGACTGTGGTGGAGGTCTTTTGGTCACACAGGTGACTTTCTATTGCATCTCTACTTAAGGAAAAGTACCTGACAGTTATTCAGGGAGTGGGAGGAGAATAAAAGAGGGATGACTCTAATTGTTACCAAGCACCTACTCTATGCAGGACACAATAATAAACACACTTAATCTATGTTATCCTGTTTAATTCTTTTTATTTAGAAGTTTGGTGATATTTTTGTGGCCAGAAATATGCTGTAGAAACTTAACTTGGCAACCATAAGAGAAAGGGCTGATTTCTACACCTGTCAAATTGTGGAGTTATAGTAACTTGCCTAATGTAACATGCCGGGAGCCGGTCCATGCTTGCTGTTTCAAGGGACCTGGCATATATGGCATACTGTTCTTAATATGTTTGCTCACCTTCTTGGCACTATGTGTTTTAACCAAGGTCTCTGAGAAAGGTTGTTTCCCCAGGTAGGGATTTTCCCCTGAAGTTAGGGAGGGAATAAAACCTCTTAACTAAGTGCCAGGTGGGTAATTAATCACTTTAACTACGAACAATCATGCTTAAGCTACATAATCTTTACTCGCTGGAATGGAGATAGGAAACGCCCTAACCTTTGAAATAGAGATTGATAGGATTGGAATCAACTGGTATAAATACAGATGTAAGAAGACAGAACGAGGAGAGACGGAACCTAGGCACAGAACCTACACAGAACGTTCTCTAGAGACAGAAGAACTTCGCTGGAGAGAACATGGCAAAAGTTCCTGGACAGAAACTGGCCTCAGAACCTAGAGACAGAACCTAGCGAGAGAACATGGCAAAAGATCCTGGACTGAACCTGACTACAGAAATTGGCAAGAGAACCTGACTAGAACCTGGTGACTGAACCTGGCTGGAGAACCTGGACAGAACCTGGCTGGAGAACCTAGCAAGAGAACATGGACTCAGAACTTAGCTGGAGAACCTGGAGAACCTGGCTGGAGAACCTAGCAAGAGAACATGGACACAGAACCTGGCTGGAGATCCTAATCCAGACCAGAACTTAGCTGGAGATCCTAAGCAGAACCTCTCTGGAGATCCAGACCAGAACTTGGCTGGAGATCCTGGCTAGAGATCCTGGCTAGGCTGCTGATCAACTGAACGCTGTCTCCATGTCATTCCTTCTTCGCCGACTCCGTCCACGCCTTTGGGAACCCCTGGACCCGCTGGGGCTGGACCCCGGCATATGGCGCCCGAACAGGGACCCCTAGGTAAGCGCCCCACACTCGGGACGGATAGGACTCCACCAGGGTACTGCAGACCCCCCTATAGAGGATAAGTAGGGTAAGAAGGTGGATAGTACAGAACTTAGATTGAGAAGATGTGCCATACTGAGTCCAAAGAAAGAAGACTCTGTTTTGATTCTTAGATTGAGAAGATGTGCCATACTGAGTCCAAAGAAAGAAGACTCTGTATTGATCTTTAGTTTAAGAAGATGTGCCATACTGAGTCTAAAGATATAAGACTCTGTATTGATCTTTTAACACATATGCCTGCTAGCAGCTGAATTAAGGTTGCTCCTAGTCAGACAGAACGTTTTATACAAGAAGTATGTCCATGCTTTTCTGAGGAAGGAAAGGTAAATGTAAAGGCATGGGAGGAGGTAGGCCCAAGGAGCCTTATCCTTAACCCCACTGCAGCCTTTCCACCCCGGGAAAGTGCAGGATTGGCAAGCTCTCCCTGGGGTGATAGATCAGGACTC